CCCCCTCAGGGGGGCCCTCTCAGGGGGGCCCCCAGGGGGGCCCCCCAGGGGGGCCCCCGTAGGTGCTTAGGTCCCCCCTATCCACCCACCTCCCATTGGATCGATAATAAATAAAATAAATAAAAAATAAAAAATTATTTATTTTATAGAGAGAGATTTGTTTGTTTTGTTTGGGGGGTAAAGCGAAGCAATAAACTTTTTGGGGTTTGGGGGAGGCCCCCCATCCATAGCCTGTCTTCATCTGCTGCTGCTGCTGCTGCTGCTGCTGCTGCTGCTGCTGATGCTGCTGATGCTGGAGAAACAGCAGCAGCAGCAGCTGCTGCTATAGGTGGTGGTGGTGGGGGTGGTGCTGCTGTTGCTGCTGCGTTTGGTGGTGGTGGTGGAACTGCTGCTGCAGCAGCTGCAGCAGCAGCAGCAGCAGGAGGACTAACAGCAGCAGCAGCAGCAACAGCAGGAGCAGCAGCAGCAGCAGGAGCAGCAGCAGCAATTCCTGCTGCAGCAGCAGCAGCAGCAATTTTTCTTTCTGTAAGAAACTCTTTACTATCAACACAAACAGCAGCAGCAGGAAAGCAACAACCCTCCCCCCCCCCAAACCCTAATAAACCCTCTATATTTATACTGTACCCTAGGGGGCCCCCGGGGGGCCCCCTCCCCCACAGCCGCAGCAGCCGGCTATCGTAGGCAGAGGCAAGGGCCCCCCCATGGGGGGCCCAAGCAATATCAACGATAGAGTTTTCTTTATATGGGGGGCCCCCAGGGCCCCCAGGGGGCCCCCCCCCAACCCCTTTATTATAATTATTTATATTATTTATTATATTACTACCACTACCATCTAGCCTACATAGGGGGCCCCCAGAATATAATAAAGAAAAAAAACTAATACACCCCCCGCTATCCCCTACACAGTATATATGTGTTTGTATAGGGTTTATATCTAGGCTCGTGGGTTCATAGGAGCTGTTGCTGGGGGGGCCCCCCGGGGGGGGCCCCCATAGGGGCCCCATATGTGACGATGGGTTTGTACTGAACGCAGGGTACGAATGTCTACTACACGCAAAGAATTATCTCGAGAGATAGATATCCAGTAAGAGCCCGATGGGTGAA